CACAATCTTGTAAACTATCAATGTCTCAACTAGGACCCAATCTTGAGCTTTCAATGTCTCAACTAGGACACAATCTTGTAAACTATCAATGTCTCAACAAGGACACGATCCTCAGCCTGTTTATCAAAACAGGGAACGATTACTCTCTCATGCTAAACATAGTCTCTATTGCAACTAAGGTATATTTCTTCAATTATGAATATATTTGGGTCTTTAACAGCGTAATTACAAGTTATGCGCTGTTGGATATAACATAGTTAAGCAATCACAATATGGGTATTGCGGAGTTGGTGGTATCTATCTACATACATTCAATGGGTTAATCGCAATTCATGATTTACGTAGGATTTTTTTTGGCATATCACACAGCCAAATTAATTGATCAAAAAGACATTTTTATGATTTTAAAACAGAATCTGATTGCACTAACATTAATTAGCCCATTATTTCTGATTTTGCATAATATTAAACTGAATCAAATATGATAATGTTTTTTTTGCATAATATTGAATCAAAATGGGGCGTTGAAAAGAAGTACTAGATTGATAAATGCGCCGACGCAAATCGATTTTCTGACGTCATTAAAAAAAAGGGGCAGTGTGCCTCAACTTCCCCTTACTGAATACAAAAAATTCACATTTCCTTTATACTAATCGTCAGTACTGTATTTGTTATTTCTTCAGGATTTAACCATGGATAAAGAAGAGGGAATACGTGGTAGGTGTATACCTGAAGGAAGCAGAGATAATGGAAAGATGATTACTTCTCTTCTCCCTCTGATGAGTGTACTAACCCTAACAAGGGTTCCTGCCCTAGACGATATGTGTACTGACATAATCAGGCATATTCTTCAGGTACAGACTTTTCTTACTTTAATGGACTTAAAGGATCTGTAGACGTAATTTTAAGTATCCTTCTATTTCTAAAATAGCATGTCTGATAAGCAATGGTAACCTTTAAACCTTTGTCTAATCATCGACATCAGTGATATTTAAAAATATTTGAGTATCATTATCATAATTCTCTCTCATTTCAACATTCTATGATATACATTTTGCAGTTCCTGGATTACAGGAGTAAGAAGATGCTGAGGGGAGTGTCTTCTACTCTCAAGAACAGGGTTGAAGGATGTGGGGATAAACTGGTTCATTACTGGAGGTTTTCTACCGAGTTTACAACAGATCAGCTCATCAAGTTTGCTGATGAAGTTGAAACAGTTTTAGGTAATTGATACATTGAAATAAATATATTTTACCTGTTTTTAAGCTCCAAGGGCATACACAGGAGGGGGCAGTGTTCACCACCTAGACCTGTAAAGTGGGACCCTATACTTCCCCCACCCCTCCCCTAGAACTCCGCTATCACACTTTTCAAATCTTTAACTGAAGAGTGAAAAACATAGGAAAAATTAGTTTTCTGTTCAGAATTGGGGTTTTTCGGACCTTAGTTTTTTTTTCTTCTCATAAAATTTAAGTTTACTTGGCTTTTTGAATGCTTTGCGCCCATCCTCTTTTTAACTTTTTATTGTGACTTTATATGTGAACATCGTCTCTATGTAACTAAACTAAACTAAAAAACAAATATTTTTTTTGCGCAATATTAAAATTTTACGCAAATCTAAAGCTTTTGGATACAACTTTTGAAATTTTAATCACCCATAAACCTTCCCTGGGGTCATGGGAGGTCCCATGCAAAATATGGGTCTGATCGGTTCAGCCGTTTTGACGTTTTTAATTGTGTCTTTATCTGTGAACATCTTCTCTTTGTACAGTATAAAACAAAAAGAAAACGTTCACGGATTTTCAAATATTTGTTCGTGCGTTTTTAAAAGTTCATGCAAGATAAAAGCTTTTGGATACAACTTTTTGAAACTTTGAGTATCCATAAACCTCTCCTGGGGTCCGATTGGTTCAGCCGTTTTGACGTTTATTGGATACAACAAACAGACAGACAATCAAACATACAGACAAGCAAAGTATAAATATACTTGACTTTAAGGCCGCTTTGCGCCCATCCTCTATTATAACTTTTAATTGTGGCTCTATCTTTGAACATCTTCTCTTTGTACAGTATAAAAGAAAAAGTAAAAACGTTCGCGGATTTTCAAATATTTTTTAGTGCGTTTTTAAAAGTGCATGCAAGATAAAAGCTTTTGGATACAACTTTTTGAAACTTTGAGTATCCATAAACCTTTCCTGGGATCCGATTGGCTCAGCCGTTTTGACGTTTATTGAACACAAACGGACAAACAAACAGACATACCAGTAAAGTATATATATAGAGAAGAAGTTGAGTTTTTTTTTGTATTAAAAACTGTCTTTTACTATTTCTAGAATAAAACGCCAATAATTTAAAATTGGATTTTTAGAAACATGTTTTTTAGCTTGTTCTGTTTGAAGTTAAGATGTATTTCTTGCAAGTTAATTGTATTGCATGTTTAGTGTGTACCTTTAAGGTATCTCATATTTATGCCTAGGACTGAGCACGTTCTAATATTTTCTAGCAGTTTTATTAATATAATTACATGGAGTTAAATGGATATGCAAGTTAATTGTATTGAATGTGTGGTGTGTACCTTTAAGGTATCTTATATTTATGCCTAGGACTGGGCACGTTCTAATTTTTTCTAGCAGTTTTATTAATATAATTACATGGAGTTAAATGGAGTTGCAAGTAAATTGGACTTAATGTGTGGTATGTACCTTTAAGTTATCTTATATTTATGCCTAGGACTGGGCACGTTCTGATATTTTCTAGCCGTTTTTTTAATATTATTACATGGAGTTAAATGGAGTTACAAGTAAATTGGACTTAATGTGTGGTGTGTACCATTAAATGTATCTTATATTTATGCCTAGGACTGGGCACGTTCTAATATTTTCTAGCCGTTTTTAAGATGAGTGTTCTCAAGGAGTTCAAGAGAACCTATCTTCTCCTGGAAGGGTTGAGGAAGGATGATGTGTTCTCCGATCTATCTGCTGACAGAGTATTGGTTATCTCCGCTCTTAAACCTTGCTCAAGGCTCAGGGTTGGGAAGAGTTTTAACTCCGGGGTAATTCAAGAACCGAAACACAAGAAGTTTAAGTATTCTTCGAATCCTATAACAGATGACATGGATTTAGGAAATCTGATGAGCACTGGCATGCTTTAAAGATAAAATGAGTTGCGTGTGAAATGCGTAAAAAAATAAAATAATAATTGCATCTGAAACCCACCTTAAAGCATTTTTCCTTTCAGTCAAAGATTCAAGCAACATAATTGTCATCTCGTTTTTAACAACATTAAATATAAGTTATATTTCTTTATTAATGTAATCTTGATTGAAAAAGTGTGAAGATAGTTTTCCATCTAAAGAAAAAAGAAAGAAAAAATGGTAAGTTGATCTCTACAGTAAAGATTAAGAACACAATCTCAAGAAAGAATGAAAAAAAGTTGCATTTTATCAGTTCAATTAATTAAACTAAAAGATTATTTGCTGAACCTTAGCTTTATCAATACTTTCTAGAGAAGAAGTTTAATCAGTGAAATGGACACTGAAAACAATGGAAAAGATATTTATTGGGAACCCACCCCACCCCCCTCTACGTACATCAAGCCCAGGGGGGAGGGGCTGCTTTTTCATTCATATCTATATCTCTATATCTTTGTAACCCAATGTCGTAGACCTTAGATATTTCAAACTATTAATACTTACAGATAAAATAATCTAAGTTTGAAATATCAAAGATATTGGGATCAAAAGATTTGAGTTTGTGGCAAAAACTCAATTCCTTTCGTTCAGATTTTTAAAAAAGTAAGTTTTTGTAATCTGTCTGTATAAATATACTAAAAAATATTAGAATCAATAAATGTAGAACTGTGTAACTTAGACTTATTGATGTAGTTATTCCTAATATTTCATATTTTGTTCATTATCATGAATCATGATTACTCTTTACTTGTATATTTTGCAGAATTTTAGAGAACAAAAGAAAAACTTCTATTTAAAAATCTAATAAGTAGCAAAATGTTTAACAGGGTTCATTAGAGTAACTATTTTTAAAATATTTTTTTTTAAGGTTTCAAGAAAAAAGTTTCAAAATGACTTTTGTCGTTTTTTCAAGTGAGGCTTGTCAAATTCACAACTCTTCTCTTTAAACTCAAACCTGATCAAAAATATGGAAGACAACGCCGTTTTTCTATGTTGAAAAGTGTTTAATTTCGGTAATTTCTCATTTGTTTCTGTAGCAAGGAATGTGCAAGCCAGTTTTGGAGAGAAACCACAAAGGAATTGAGTCTTTGCCACAAACACTGCTTTTCTAATTCCTATATATATCTTTGCAACCCAATGTCGCAGACCTTGGATATTTAAAACTTTTGAATTCTGTGAGATAAAAAAATCAAAGTTTGAAATATCAAAAGTCTACGCAATAAGGTTGCTAAAATATATGGTGTATAAAACTGATCATACTTGATCACACAAATCTTTTAAGGGTACCGTTGTGAATCGGGAATACCATTCTATCCGTCTATAGTTCCGGTCTTGATGGGATGATAGTAAAAAGAAAAACGATCTAAATCGATCCTTTGGTTGAGAATCCGGGACTATTAGATATGAACAATATTATAACTTAAGTCTAGTTTCTTACAAATTTCTAATTCTAAATTTATTGTTAACAATAGCATTTATCAAATTGGGAACATTTTTTGCCTGGAAATCTCCAGGGGGGGCGAATGTCCCCCCGCCCCCCCTGTATCCGCCCCTGAGAACACCACAGTGGAGAAGAGAGCCTCAGTAAATCAACATATCAAGAACTTCATCATGAATTTTTTTTACTTATATCCTGCTGTTTTTTGACCAGTTATTTACCTTATCCTTTGTCAATTTTTTTTTCGACTTAGAGACTTAATTTTTCTGTTTTTGTCTAGCTATTTACAGTAGACATTGATCAGAGTGTTGGCATTTTGAGAATTTAATCTCGTCCATCGTCAAATTCGACGAATTCGTCTGAAATTATCATCTATTCAAACTTAATAGTCACTATATGGTGTTAGTTGTCATTTTTCGACTTAGAAACTTAATGTTTCATTTTTTATTAGGTACTTACCATATGCTTTGAGTACAGGCCGGCATTAAAATGATGCATAAAGTTCTTGATATTTTGATTTTCGGTTGCTCTCAATGCGGTGCTCAAAATCGTTCGACCAGAAAAGATAATACCATTTTCAGTAACTATAAATTTTGAACTCCAGAGGAGGTCATAAATAGTTGGAGGTGAACTACTGCTAGGGTGTTATAACATTCTTTTACAAAATAGGATAATTCAAATGAAATTAAATCGAACACCAAACATGACATTATACTTAGTTTCAACAGATCTTGACATATTCGAGAGCATAATAGAGAAGAGGTCAACTTGGAGGTCGGATATTGGTGTTTATGTTGGTTCATGTTTAATTTGTTTGTTTAAAGTATTAAAAATTGTCTGGTCATGCTGAAATGAATGAGTTGGTGTGAACCATTTGGCATTTTCCAAATTTTTAAAGTTGATGGTTAAGTCATAATGGAGTCGTTAACCACATTAAGATGCTGCATGCAAAATTTCAGCCTTCTTTCACACTGGTTAAGACTTAATCCAGCATGTACAAAATTTGGTGTCATGAAGTGTAGAATTGACCCCATTTTCTCGGCTATGGCTGTCGAAAAAGGCCACTGCGCCTCATGTACATCTTTTTATCCCCAGCCCCTATTAATTGCAGTTCTAAAAAATAAAAACAAAACCAAAAAAGTTTTGAGAAAATGGCGAAATTGAGTTTTTTTTAAGCCTGAAAAATCTGAAAATTAACAAAGATGCGCCGGTATAGTTTTCTATTGTGTGCTTTTAGGACTCCTTCCTCCTTGTTTTTACAGTACATGCATCACATATATGTAACAGTTGAATTTGAGGTCATGTACATTAAAAAAAACTGAT